TTTCCCTTCCCTTCTTTCCCTTCCAGTGGTCTTCAGCGCTCTGAAATCAGTTCTAACAAACAAGCACCAAGGTTAGATAGGTAATAATGCCCTCAAGGACAGGGGCCGTGTCCATTTCCTTGTTACATTAGTAATGCTGAATTGAAGGACTGGCTAATAGTAGGAATTCATTAAATCACATATCTTACAAAATGGCACATATCGTGTTCCCGAACACTATTCATGACTGACCACCGTGGTGTCTTTCATGTGCCTAAGACAGGAGTCCCAAGTAGCCTAGCATATGATATACCATTCACTGCTATTTGTACTGATTTCTGTTATGAAAAATAAAAAAAGTATCTGTGAACAAGATATGTAATCCCTTGGTTGAAGCTACCTCTGCTACTACAGAGCCTGCATTTTGATACTTCTATTAGATTCTGGTCAGATCTGTAAGATTCTGATCAGATCTGATTTCAGAACCATGTATGGTAAAATAGCTGGTTCTCATCTCCTTCAACTTCTTTGTAATAAATCAACTTTGTAATAAATCAACGCCATTTTAAGATGACTGCACAGATTCCAGATTATCAAAGCAAACACAGAGAACTATCTAGTACTCTGACAGTGACATAGTTTTGTTCACCCAATCCGATAGCAACCTCAGAAGGCCTTGTTTTGCCTGAAAAGAACTGCTTGATTCATTCTTCCCTCAACCAACTACCATCACACAGCTACCACAACCTAGCAACGCTTTAGCTGTGTTTTTTCTCCTGTAAGAGAACCCTGGGTTTGATGGGAAAAAAAATCCCTTTGCCAAAGCCAAAACAGTCCATATACAGGTGTTCCCCAGAATACAGATGATCCGTATTTTACCACTCATCCAGTTTGGGAGTATAACTGGATTTTACCATGATGACAAAATCATCTCTCACTTGCATGACGTAGAACAATCTCAGAGCTACAGTTTGGTGCAGCTTCCCGAGTACTGATCCTATTTTCAGGGTTGAATATTTCCAAATAAAGAACCAGCAGTGCTAACCACACTTTCAGAGTCATTTCTGTGGCATTATTGACTCAGTCTTTCACCTAACTGGGAGATTATTCATTCCCATTTGTTTCCTCCTTCTCCCACCTAGATGAACCATGTCTGGGGCATTCACCACTGACTCTTTTCATTC